GTATATTTACTTTTATTTGTCCAGAATTGTATAATTTGGATTTTGTTTTATCTTCAAGATTTTTATTTTGCATACACTGTTTAAACTTTGCTACACTTGTTACAGATTTTAAGCTATCTGGCAAATCATTCCATTATTTAATTGTAGATGGTAAAAAACTATTGTAGTATGCAACTGTTCTAGTGATTGGTAAGTGATACGAATTATTGCGTAACGCGTAATTATGTGAAACAGGTAGGCATTGATTGACCATTTCTTGCAAATATTCAGGTGTATAATCATTAAGTATTTTGTACATATGTGTAAGCTTATGTTTAGTTCTTCTTTCACTAAGCGTTTGCCATCCTAATTCATTATACAATTTTTGTTTTGAAGAATTGCGCCTTAACCCAGTAATGATACGCCCAGCCTCTATTTGCACACTCTCTAATAGATTACTCTGTTCCTGTGTGCAATTATCCCATACTACATTTCCATATTCTAAAATAGGCCTTATAAAAGCAATATAAATACTAATAAGGGAATCTCTGTTTAATTTGTATTTAAGGGTGCGAAGAACATTTAAACGTTGACATGCTTTATAATATATTTTGGATATATGTTCTGACCAACCACCATAGGATTGTAGTATAAGTCCAAGGTGGCAGTGACTTTGCTGTTGTTCTATGTAACTATTTACATAACCAAATGAGATTTGTGGATGAGCTTTAATTGACCGGGTAAAATTAACATTTACAGTTTTACTAGGGTTAAAGTCTACCATCCATTGTCTGGACCACTGTTTAATTTTTTCTAAGTCATTTATTAAAGAGACGGCAGGGGCTTGTGTATGAGTCTACAATTACAAACAAAGAAGTATCATCTGCAAATAACCTAATTTGATTTTCTAAATCTTCAGTTATGTCATTAATATATATCAAAAAGAGGAATGGTCCTAATACCGAACCTTGTGGGACGCCTGCATTTATACTTTCTCTAACTGAGGAGTACCCTTCTAATAAAACTTTTTGTTCACGATCAGTAAGATAGTTTTCAATCCAATCCAATATATTTCCAACAACACCATTCTTCTTAAGCTTAAATAATAACCCGTTATGCCAGACCTTATCAAATGCTTTTGATATATCACAGAAAACAAATCTTACATCTTTGCCTTGGTCTAAATTGCTTATAATAGTATTGTATATTTCTAGAAGCTGATTTACGGTGGAATCCCCAGGTTGGAATCCAGACTGATTCTTGGATAAAAGATTATGATCCATCATGTAGTTGTGGAGATGTTTGAAAATAATTTTTTCCATAATCTTACAGAGAATACTAGTTAAAGCAATAGGTCTGTAGTTTCCTGGTTCTTCGGGACTACCTTTATTTTTATAAACTGTTGTAATATTTGATAGTTTCCATATATGGGGAAGCTGTTTGCTGGTTAATGATGCATTAAACAATTTTGCTAGGGGTGCAATGATAGACGGAAGTATATTTTTCAGTATATGTGGAGAAATATCATCTGGTCCTGGGGGTTTAGATGGGTTGATATTGACTTCTTGGGGTGTTATATGAATTGTGTTTATTGAATATGGTGGACCTGGCCCTTTAGGGGGTAGTTGGGATTCTGTGCTGACATCAATATGTGATATTTCTGCAAAGTGTTTATTAATTATATTAGCTTTTTCAATTGGGTGTATATAAATTCTACCATTGGATTTTATTGGTGGGGGTTTAGTTTGTTTTTTAGAAAATTTAGTAATAGACTTTACAATTCGCCACCATTTGCCAGGTGATATTGTTCTATCTAATATTTGTGAGGTAATTTTTTCCTTATAGACTTGTTTTGATTTACGTACCATACTTATTACTTCATTCCTTAAATGACGGTATCTACTCCATTGATATTCATTATTATTTGCTTTTGCTTTATAATGTCCTCTATTTCTTTGTCGCATCTTACATCTAATAGCACTTGCCATAAATGGTTTATCTGATGGTCTAATGGTCACTACTTTTTTAGGTATATTTTTGTCAACATAATGGTAATATATCTTCATAAAGTTATCATATATGTCATTGATATTGTGTGTATTAAATACCTCTCTATCCCAATCAACATTTGACAAATCTGTGCATAGTTGTGAGTAGTTAGCTTTTGTATAATTTCTTATGTATCTTTTATATGAGTGTTGCTTGAATGTTTTAAAATGTAGATCAACACCAACTGGACTATGAGTGCTACAAAAAGGTGTTAAGATATTTACAGTTTCTATTTTTTCAACAGCATTGGTAATAATAAGATCAATACATGTACCTTTTGATCTTGAAAAATTTGTTGGTTTTGTAACAACATTTGATAAAGAAAAAAATTGCAACATGTTCTTAAATGCATTGTTACCATCAGCTAACATATCAAAATTAAAATCGCCCAATAGAAATATTAGTAATTCAGCATTCAAAGCACTTTCTATAGATAGTGCAAGTTGGTTTACAAAGTCTGCTTTTGCACTAGGTGGTCTATATATTACACCAACTAAGAATTTGTGATTTCCATTTTCAATCTCAATCCATATAATTTCAATATTTGAAGTAAGGATATCTTCTCGTTTCTTGAAACTGAGGTTACTTTTAACATAGATCATAACACCACCTCCATACCTGTTACGATCAAGTCTAACGGGTGCTTGAAATCCTTCAAGTTCAATATCATTGTCAGTTATAGATTGGTCTAAATGACTTTCAGTAATAGCAACAATATCATAATCACATAGTTCATTATATATAATGTCAGTTTTAGGGAGAATGCTACACACATTATTAATTTTCATTTCATAACAAAAAAGGTACATTTGTCAATAAAAAAAAGTTGTGTTTTTAATGCGTTTAAAATTGATCTTCAGTTTCGTTTTTATTTTTATTTTTATGCAGTTTTGAAAATTGCACAAGGCATTGTCTAATACACGCAAGGTGTTTTATATTAACTGCAGTTTAAAAAGTCAGGGTTTTTTTTTTTTGGGGGGGGGGTAGAATATAAAAAAAAAAGGTGATTTACGAACTGTGGTGATTTTATTACATCCTGAGTTAGAGAAAAACTTGAAAATAAAGACAACAGTCTAGAAGCTTCTATCAGGAGAGAGAATTATACCAATTCGACGTATAAATTATTCTTATAAATTAGATTTCTAACGAAATTTGCACATTTGCAATTCCATTCTATTTTGTAAGGATTATGGTTTATATGTTACATGCCATTAATTGTATTGCAAATGTATCTAACCGTGAGTTCTAGACAAGAATTATTTTAATTTTCATATCGTTAGCAATGAAAAATAGTGTATATAAAAGGTTATTTGAATTATTGTCACTTTGCCTCAAGCGTATTCCGAACAGCAAATGAGTACATCGTTAAATAACCGTGCAGCTGTCGTTGGTCTGGCCCTGGGATGTTCAAGTTTGAATCATGTGTATGTAATATTATTTAAATCATATTTATAGATTTCTAAGCAATTAAAATTATTGTATTTCCATGGTAAATGAATAAAAATTCCATGGTAAATGAATTTTTATACCTCCCATTACTTTGTCTTTGATAATGATAATTTTTTTTTCATTACAGTATAGTCATATAAAAAAGAATCAGGAAATGTTTTAATTGAGGGTTCTTTTTTTTTTTTTTTTGGTAAATGTTTTAATTGAGGGTTCTTTTTTGGTAAGGTAAAAATTGATTATGGTCTTGTCAGTATTATAAACTTGTCACTATCTCAATTTATTACATATATGCTTATAATTGATGTCAATATGAACTTGTTACCCGTAATACATGCATTTATGACAAGGAATTTTTTTTATTATATTTTGAAATTCAATAAGACATTGTTAAATAGATGCATATTTTACATCTACAGAAATGATCTGGAGGACTAATGCAAAAAAAATATATTAGACTTATGAAAGACTAAAACTTATCGTTAAATATCTCCAACACAATTCAAATAAGAAACCTGGAATCCAGTTCATGCAATAGATGTTCACATATTAAATCGTTTTTACTCTTTAAAGAGCTAAACATGGGCAGTTTATAAATCTTAGTGTTTTTTTTTTCTGATGCATTCAAGCTTGCGTGTATTATCAGTTTCATAACATTACGATTGAATAGCAGCTGCTACCTATGTGAACAACCGGATGTTATTGTGGCAAGGCGACATCGTACAATGTTTAATACGGCTGTTTATCAACCCATATTTGAAATTATGTTTCAATCTAGACTTAATATGGTAATTAGAAAGTTAATTATTTTCATTGGCAAATGATTTCTATAGACTTTCTCTTATCAATTATAATAAAATACAAATTTATTCATAAATATTAAGTATATGCAAACGAAATATCGTAAAAATTAATATTTTTAAAATACAACTTATATTTGAAATCTCTGCATATAAAGTGATATTCATTTCAAAACATTTTAGTGCATGTTGATTAAGGGTGATTTCACTGTATTTTCTAAAAAATATGACATTTAAATATATTGTATATTTTCAGGGTGATATGTGAAATTTTGAACATTTGTTGACTGAAAAGAATTAGATCGTAATTAAAAGAATTTTCCAAGGGATGTTAATATCAAATTAAAAGGGTTGGGTTTCATGAATTTACATTAAACTGATTGATTGAACGTATTTAAACTTTGATTAAATTCCCTGTTGGAAAACTGAAACGTTGTTTTATCTATAAAACATAAGCAACACAGTTCTTTCTTATTTTGATTTCAATGTACTCGTAGAAAGACAAATTAAAAAGCTGCTGACCTAAGGCAAATAAACCATCTGTTTCGATAATAATACTCCCTTCCAAATTCATATCCCTTGACAAAAAAGCAATACATTTACCTAAAATGACAGTTAGGTAGGACAATTATGAACGGAGTATAAACGGGGAATATCGAAAAACTGTCCCCTTTTAAAACTTATATTTCTTTCAAAATGTTTATTTGTGTCGTGTGCAGAGGACAGTGATACATCAATGGTCATTAAGCTATCAGTTAGGATTGTATTATACGCAGCAAATGATTACATTATAAACGTAGAACAGTGAATCGGAAATCATGGGTCTTCATGATAGGAATGTTCAAACAAGAATTCTTTGTAAGTATTGTAAATTCTGCACTTGATATCTATACGTTTCTTTTAATTTTTAATCAAGAGACATCATTAGAACAAAAAACGTAGATAGTATGGATAAGTTTGATGTCTTGATTTGCTCCTTAATTATCTAAAGCTTATTTATTATATAACCATAACCTTATATTTGACGACCAAATACAAAAAAATGTCAAACATCACAAATTAATAAAAAGAAAATCCCTCTCAAATAAGTTCTTACTAGTGAGAATGGCGCGTAAAGCAGAGAAATTAGGAAGAGCGCTAACTACCATATACAATAATGAGATTGTGCAAGGCATTCAAATTTAATCTAGCCTATTTATCATATAGAGAGTGATTTGAAGTATAAAAAGATGGCACCTACAAATGAACTTTGTAAGGAAGCTACATTTAATTTTCTTAACAAATGGGGTGTAAATAAAACCCTTTATTTTAAAGAATGAAGATTAATTCCCTTGTTGCGTTCTTGTGGAGAGCTGATTAGCTCCTTTTACCTATATGTAAGCAATCTGTGTTTTAGAATTTGACGTTTGACGGAACCCATTAGTGTCAGTGTATGACTTGTAAAAGCAATTTGTAAGGCTGAATATGACGATAAAATCTTGGGTTTTTTTTATTATTTATAATAAATAATATTCATGCATCAAACTAAAGCATGATTTACACCTAATGCATGAACTCATACAATGACATCCGTGGAACGATACGGCAAAGCAATCATAAGATTGGATTTAAAAAAATTGTTAGTAAGTGCCAATATTCATATTTAAGCTCTCGAAATAACATTTTATGTATATCTAGGAGTTAAGAGTTATATTATGAATAAATCATATTACATTATATATCAACAGCAGAGTATCATAAAAAGTGCCCGTAAAATTATATTCACAAACTATTTTTGGTTCATGACAAGTTACTCAAAATATTTTCAATATTTACAGCTCAACACACTTTTTAAACTCACATGGTTTTCCCAAAAATTAAACTCACATTTTTCTTGCAATAAAACTTAAAATTATCAAGTTTCAGTACGATACATAACCCTGATATTATTAAATATTTCATGTTAAAGGTGCATATTTTCTACAATTATTATCTTTCGTTTTAAAAGTCAATGTTCTAAAAGGTAATTTGTTTATAAATTGTATGATTTTAAATGTGTATGGTCCTATCATACATTGTAGGTATTTACAAATTAATAAATCGAACTTTCTTTGATACTGTTCGGTTGAAATGTTTTAATTGATGTCTTATGGATAAGTATTTTTCTAAGTTCTCTGCACATTTTCCACACTTGTCTTGGGTTCGACGAAATACAGCGCCGAAAAATGACAAATCTGCATTAAGAAATCATGTGAAAGGATAGGATAATAAAGAATTGTTTATCTTTTAACATAGTAAATTGTAAATATTGGAGTAAAAAATCTTTTACATTTATGGTCTGAAACTTTGAAATTTTGCGTTGGAAGGTGTCTTAATGATGCTAGATTTCAGAAAGTTAACCTGAAAAAAAATCTTTTTAACAAGGAAAGTAGACAAACAGAAGAGAAATAATTCTATCATCCTGCACCTTCGTGTCATACTAAAGTACATAAAATACAGAAGTTACATGAACTGCACTGTTTCTGTATGAAGGCAAGGCAAAAGTATGATTTAAAATAAATGGATACAAAGACGGTTGCATTTGACAAGAAAATATAAAAAAAACATTTGGAATCTCTAATAATATATCATCCAAGAGCATACCATATAAGCAGAATTTTTAGCAAGGATTTAATTTTGGCATTATTAGCGAGAGTGCTGAGATCGCTAAAATTGAATATCGCTTAAAATTAATTGCGTTATATATTGTAATAGCTTCTTTAATGTGGATTTTAAAATCGCTAAAATAACATCTCGCTAAAAATAAATTACCAATTTTAAAGGACACATCGCTAAATTTGCGTCTCGCTGAAATTTTCATTTATATGGAATAAAAATCCTACCAATAATACAAGGGATATTATTTCTATTTGCTTTGAACTGCATGCAATGGTTGTTTTATGAAATTTAATAACAACACATTATTTTGTTTTTAGATCCATCATCAAGTGTCAAAGCATTCTGGTTGGTCAAAATTGTCTTCTATTTGTCGATGTCTACTATAACTACCGAGAAAGATGATAAAGACTGGAAGAATCTAATGAATCAATATTCCTCAATTTGTGGCAGAGACGCCATTTGTGATCAATCTTTGATAGGCACCACCACCAACAGGACAAGCAACGTTTCCTGTCCAAGTTGTAGCTGCAATAGATTATGTCAGATTCATGGTAACTGTTGCCTTGATATATCGTTCAATACATGCGTGCAAACCTCGTTCGGTTCTGAAGGGAAACAAAAATTTTATTTTATAAAAAATGACTGCCTCCCAAGTGCCGATAAACAACTTGTAAGGAAGTTCAAGAAGCAAACGAGAATAAGAATTTACTTCGAAGAAACCCTGTTACCTCAAAATCAACTAATATGTCATACAGGAATGCTTACTGTGCTCAATGTAATAATGACTCTATTTTTGTTCCTTGGGATATTGAAACAAATTGCCCCATTAGTGAAAACGTGTTTTCCACCATTGACGATGTGTGGGATTATTTTCAATCTAAGCATTGCTCTTTAAGTTTCATCCCTTCAGATGACATTCGCCAGAAATTAGAAGTCCCTAAAGTATGTGATTGGAATAAACATCGTATCGGTGAGTGCAATGCCACGGGAAAGCTATCTTCATTTGATTCGACAGTTGAAACTGCTTGCAAGACAAACTATCATCCTTTTGGCTTGTTTCAAAATCCCTTTTGCCTGTTGTGTAACATTGGAGATGGCTTGTTTGAACCACCAATATCAACTTGCAATGTCACGGGGCAGATTGATTATATACCTCAACATTTATATGATGCATGCATGAACGATACTGTAGAAGCATTACAATATCCATATAAAAACAAATATTGTGAAGAATGTAATTTAGTCAAAACAGGAAGAACCGATATAAAATTGCAAGACGCCATATTGTTTATTTATATTTACAACAGACCAGAAAAAACAAACAAGAATGGTCAATTTATTCCTGGAAAAGTGTCTTATGTATCTGAGTTTAGTGTAAGTAACGTAAATTTTTCCTATGAATCCTCGATATCAATCCATTTAAATACCAAAGGACGTTTTCCGCAAGCAAATGCTGAAGATTTCGGCTGGTTTCTAAAGAGGAAATGGTGTCGAAGAGCCAAGTCCCGTATTGATGCCGATGCAGAGTATTCAGATGACAAATATTCATATCGTCCTTGTTCATGTTCTGCCGAGTGCAACAATACCAGCAGCTGTTGTGAAGATCCAAAGTATGAGCTCATTATGAAGCAAGTGAACAAATGGTCATGTGTGGATGTATCGTACCCTCGGACACTTGATTTATACCAAAATTCTTATTTTATGATAAGTAAATGCTCGGAGGCTTACAATGACACTGAAATCAAGAATCTTTGTGAAAAAGACAACAAACATTATCTTAGCCTTATACCAATCACGGATAAAAATACATCGGTTACGTACAAAAATTATTTTTGTTTTCTTTGTGTTGTACCGGATAGCGACAATATTCAAAACCACACCTACCTCGTGCCATGGACTATTTCCTTGGCATGTCCTGAAATTTGGAATTTTAAACGTGAAGCCAGCTTGGAACTTATCATACAAAACGTTGACTCTAGGAATTGTCAGCTAAATTTTCGGCCATCCCTTTCTTTTCCACCCGGTTGTGTCTTTTCTGTAGCTGGAAGTCTGTACTGTTCACTATGTGATCAAGCAAGAAAGACTATAAGTGGAGGACGTGAATTTACTATTAATTATCGTACGATATTCTCGTTATTTGAAAACACAGATGAAATAGGCTTAGAAAACCCTAAAGATCCTAACGCAAAATGCCAAGATAATGAATTTTTTGACATTTTCAAGGTAACTATGCCATATATATACCGTTTCTCCCCATGCGTTTGATTTTTCTATTCTTAATAACAAACACATATTCCGTATGGGTTTGAGTTACATATGCCTCATTTACATTTAATGGTTCTGTTTGTTTCAATTTTTATATGATAAACTTTTTGTTTACTTTAAGGGAAAATGTCGACAACTTTCCTGTTTCCCTGGGAAAACCCTTGTGAATGGGAAATGTTATCCATTGATTTCATTCCAATCTCCTTTAGTTTACAACATAGCCTTTAAAGCAGTTCTTCAAGTACACCAAGGCTACATGCAGATGAATCTTGACCAATTAATTCAAACAATGATTTCCTTCTTGATAGAGGATCTTCACAATGGTACCGATCTAAGTGTTAATATTTTGGAATATCGACAGCGCTACAAAAGAATGTGTGAAGATACAATAACGGTGTTTGATTCAAATCCACTTGAGTTAAGCATTTTTATCAAAATAATCATACAAAGCAAAAATAATGTGAAAGATCAAAATGAAATCGAACATAGTCTTAATAACGCTTGTACGAAGACTGGATCTTTCCAGAATTTTTCAATGGAATTTTCAGAGGATGTGAAGGCGTGGTTTCTACCAATCCAAAAGAACACATTACCGTCCCTTCAATTATGTGATACACACTATCTGTCTCTTCGACAATACAGCAATAACCCAGGTATTGATATCACCAAGCTGTTGTTTTGTCCGCAACTGTCATTATCAACCGAAGAGTTTCAGATTTCACATGATGGACTTCAGGTACATGTATCTTCTCTGAACCGGACATTCTTTTATAATGAATTCTCCAGAGGTGAAAACAATACGGTTCGGATATGTGCCACTGACTATACATCTACGATACAATCTAATCAAACTCAGTCAGGATCTGGGGAAAATTCAGAACATTTCTTCCTTGAAGTATTGACAATTCTAACAACATGCATATCCATTGTTTCTCTGATTATTACTTTCATTGTCTATTCCATTCTCAAAAAGCTTCGCACCATCCCAGGTCAAAATTTGATGTGTTTTGTAGCATCACTGTTCTTTGCTCAACTATTTTTACTCCTTAAAGGTGTGTTCGAAGATAACAAGATAGCATGTAACGTGGTTGGGATATTCATTTACTACTTTTGGCTTTCTACATTTACTTGTGCGAGTGTTTGTTCTTTCCATATGTTTCGTGTGTTTGTGTGTGATGCTCGATTTTATGACAAAAACCCTTGTAATCATACCATCATATTATACTCGATTTATGCATTCCTGGTTCCTGTTTTAAGTATTTGCCTAACTATTGGAATTCATATGGCTCTCTCGCAATCTTCTCTGACAGGGTTTGGGGGAAGTTCTTGTTTTATTGACGACAAGGACACTCAACTGTACAGCTTTATTCTTCCTATCTCTATTATTTGCTTCATAAACTTTATTTTGTTTTCTATAACGTTTTATAAAATCCACAGTGCTCCTACAATTGAAAATACCCAATGTCGAAACGATCTTAGAATTTATTTTAAGCTTTTTCTTCTGACTGGTACAGCTTGGGTTTTTCAGATCATAGATGGACTGTTCCCCGTATCACCCTTTTCATACCTAGTAACAGTTATAAATGGGTCACAGGGGGTGTATATTATGATTTCCTTTATCTTTACTCATCGCGTCAAACTCATGTTTGTGGAGATGGGTTGGTTTGACAAATTGGGTCTTCGAAAAGGAAAGAAATCTCAGAGCAGTGGGGAGACAAAACTAACCCATAGAAGTGCAGCACCTTCAGAATTTGTTAGAATATTTCAACCATGTACTACTTAAACATTTATATTTGAAAATAATAATATCACCGACATATCAGAGTCTATATGTAAAAGGGTTCTCAAAACATTCATGGACAGAGTCATAGACTTTAGACTCTTTGTGTCACATCAAATAAAATGTAAAATTTATTTAACATTATATTTTTCTTTCCACAGAATAAACTTTAAAGTATGTAGTTCATCTTTGAGTAGATTATTAAGTACATGTATTTACATATTTATCTCAATGTCGCGCGACCTAAAATATACAACCCATTTCTAATGACCAGGATTTTTTATGAACTGTTTATAAAGTAACACTAAAATGTAAGGAAATTTTTTGTATTGCATTAGCTTTTCTAGTTAGATATGACAAAAAATTGAAAAAAACATTTTGGATCGCTGTATCAAGGTTAAGTATTATATAGGTTGCTTTGTGATCACTTACACTTTTGTCTATATCGATAGAACCCGATTCAATACAATCAAGGGTATCTGTAATAAGTATGGGATCAATACAGGTAGATTTCAAATTTATCACTCTTGTTGGCTCGGTAATATAGTTTATAAGGTTATACATGTATGTCGAAATTATATCACTTACATATATTGGAAGCTTTTTATTAAGGTCTTCCGTTTCCAACGGAAGACCTTCTACTGATTCTGTTGGTAAAGATCATTATTCTTTTTTTTCTTCTACTTCCTAGACGCCAACTTTGAAGCCTCATATCTCACTCAATTCTCAATTGATTTCGCTCAAATTTTCAGACGTACTAGAAGTTACTAAACTCTATTAGAATATTGTCCAAAATTTCAAAAAGTCACTTCCGATTTTGGGCTATTTCCCTTGAAACAAAAATTTTTAGGCTTTCGTTTCCAGACAAAGGCTCAGAGACGACTAAAGCTGGAGCAGAAATTCTACTGATTTAAGATAATAAAAGGATTGAAGTTGTGCACATCGGTTTTTGATTTTCGATTTCTTTATTCAAAATGGCGTTATATAGGGGTAAAAAATTAGAACGCCTGAAAGAGCGAAAATTTACACATATTTTGCTTTTTATCTTCTAAACTAAAAATATTTTGATAAAACATATAGAACAAAATTTGAATTTGAAGATCTTTCAAATGATATCTCGAAAAAAGGGCTGACCCCTAAATTAAGGGATCTAGAGGGGCCAAAAGTTTTTCCAGATATCTCAAAAGGTATTGAGAATAATTATGTAATACGTCCAAAAAGCAAAGTTGTTCAAAATGTCAAACTTAATCTATTGAAGTCATCAAAATGCGTCCGGCGACGTCACTTTCGGTCAAACCGGAAGTCGTCAAAAAATGCATATTTTTGCCGTTCTTGACAAGTTTTTGGGTTAACATATGTCACTGGAAGCATAAAACTTAATTTTCCGTCCGTTAAAATCACTTCCGATCAAACCGGAGGTAGCCAAAAATAGCTTATTTTTAAGGTTTTGATGCAAAATTGAAAGTATAAAGTGACTGGAGACGACTTAGCTCATTGCTTTCTTTTGTTGACGTCACTTCCGGTCAAAACAGGACGGAAGACCTACTCGTTTCTTTCCAACGAGCTTTGCTCTAGTTGAAATCTATATTCCAATTTCCGTTTAATATTATATTACTTGATTGTTTTAAAGTCCTTCCAATAGAATTTTCTAACTTTTCCCAGAATTCAACTTTCGATGTTTCAAGTCTATTTTAAAATAGTGCATAGAAAAACGCTTTTTGATTTTAGCTTGATTTCTACCCAGATTGTTTCGTCCAGCGCATTTTCGAAATTTCTACGTCTTAGAGCTTCTAAACCTTCTCTTATATAATCAAGAATTCCACCGCCATGACTAGTTCTATCTAATCTGAATGGGGAATTATATCCTTCAATTGTTAAATTCTCTGTATTAATTAGATCATTCAAATGAGTCTCGGTAAAACACAAAATATCGTTCAATTCAATGTAATTAGTTATCTTGTCTAATTTGTGTCGTATACTCCTACAGTTTAGATGAAAGATTGTCAAACCAGTTACGTTTAGCTGAAATATCATTACATAACAAAAGTAGATTTATTAGGATTAGAATATACTGAATGTTCAGTATATTTTTCTTGATTAAATCTACAACCTTAAATAAGAAAAACAAAATTTCTTTTGCCAGTTTGCCGATTTTTAAAATAAAAAATCTTTTTCGAATAATTATTTTGTGATACACGGAGTTGTATTTTCCAATCGCCGCACGATATGTCATAATATCATTACCCATGATCTAAAACGTCAAATCGAAATATGTAAAGAAGAGTGATTTTCGTGCGGCGATGGCTGACAGGAGTGTCGACTTCATTCATACAGCGTAACGCTTGAGTAATCATTGAGTAAAGAGAAGCTATAGTGCAATGATAAAGTGGGTGAAAAGTGAGATAGAAAGAAACATAAAGTATTGACATGGAGAAAAGTGGAAGAATTGGGAATACATGGAAATCAGTAAGAACCCAGAGCAAAGTATGGGCATGCAAGGAAATTAGAAAAAAGGATAAATGTGTCTTCATGTGTAAATTAGAAATATACATGTTTACAATATATACAGTCGTACACATTTAGCATTGCAAGTGTTTGAAAAGAAATATCGCTGGTTGTTTTACTTGTTTGGAATCTCTTATAAGAGTTTTTTTTATAGTAATTTGGGGATAATAACAGTTAGTACATTTATTTGATTTAAAGCCTCGTCATCACTGACGTGGTCAACTTCTGGTAGGAAGAAAGCAATGTCACTGAGGTGATTTATCAAGATTTTGGGTGAGGTCACAGTCTCCTTTACAAGTATTCCTCCATCATTGGTCCAATATGAGTCAATTTTTTTGTAATAACGCGCCTTGGATAGAGCTTGAAAGATGTTGTCGAGAGCGAGTAACGTCCTCGGAAAGAGAGATTTCACTTTCACTGCCTTGATCTTTTAACTCGGATTTTCCCCGGTAGACCCTATTTTTGATTTTCCAGTTGTTAAATTTACAAATAAATTGGGCTTTTCGGTTTTGGATTGATGCAATTATGTGGGACCTGTTTATATCATCCGGACTGATAGGGGGAAATTACTTCAATTTTTCATTACAAATTCCAACCACAATTTGATCGGTCTTGTTGATTTCAGATGTAGTCATTTGAACCCCATGGAACCTTTAATAAATTTCTTCTCTTTTTACTGTTCAAGTGCTTCCAGGCCTGATTCTATCTTGTTGACTTTTGCAGATAGATTGTCAACCTCAGTTCTTAAAGTTTGGTTTTCTGAGCTTAGTTCTTGAATTATAACATTTTGAGATTCGATTTTCTGACATAGGTCTGATTTAATTGTCGTTAGATCTTGAATAACAGTGTCAATTTTTGAAGTGAGTGGCTGAAATGATTCAGCTATTAGAGTCCCAAGTTGTGGCATAAGGGCTGTGATAAAGGTTGATGCCGCTGATTGAATGAAATCAGCACCATTGATCATGATCGTAGCATGGACCAGTTTTGAGATGTTGAAGGTTTTACCCTGGTGTGTTAGTATCATTGGAGCTATACTGCCTTTTTGGACGGAGGCTAAATTGTCAAAGGAGTTTCTTATTCGTAGAGGTGCGGGAGCATCCACATGATCCGCCACCTCAGAGGGGCTAACAGTTTGATGAATATTTCTCTTTAAGCCGTGAGTTGTTGGTGTGAAAGATGTATCGTTGATATCACTCATATTGTATATTTGCTAGGTTTTGAGTTAGATGTTCAATGTTCAAAAATACAAGTAACAAGTTTGTATTTATCAAGATCAAGATCGACCACTCGTTATACAGGCGGTCAAGATGGTGAATACTACTCAGGCGATACTCAGTAAATAAACCTTTTTAGACAACTTCCCCAAACATCTTGTTTACATACTTTTTAACGTTATATCCTATGGCACATACCTCCAGCAGTTCATAAAAGCCTTGTCCGTAATTCTTTCATTCAATATAACACAACATTTATCCTTCAGGTAAATTTACACACCTTGTGCCATCACGTGACCGTGAACCTGGACATATTTTGTCAATTTGATCAGTACAGGATTTCAGTGATCTTCAAGCATGGCAACTTTTTTTTTTGACAACGCCTTCTAAAATCCATAGCATACATAAATAACTACAAAACTATGAATAGGGCATAAAACAAATACCTGGAAATTTTGAGCCTAGAAAGTGAGCCCTATATATATTGATCAGGTGGGTTGAAAATCCCATCTAGTCAAATTTAGTATAAAATTTACAGAATTAAAAGCCTAAAAATTAGAATGAAACACATCGGCCAAAATGAATCGAATGATAGGTTATATTAGAGAAAAAAATCAATATAGCTACCATTGCATGTAAGTGATGATGATTTTAAAGAAGGTTGGTAAAATCCCTGTAACAAACTTATCTGTCAGTAGCCTGCCCCGGCTTAAATGTGATCGTTTTCGGAGCATAACCTTGAGAATAAGATAATTTTTATCCTAAAACATATCATTTTTATTCGATACAATGTGTTTCCTATTCGATTAGTTGTTATTCCTATTTGATAACTTGTGTAATTTGTATCGCTACAAATTATCTTTATATCAATCTCTTTTTACTGCTGTTGCTGACAATTCAAAAAGACATTATTTTTTTTTTCATATTGATAAATTTAGATCATCACTGAAGCCTTCTACTGTCCCTGCTCAGTATAAAGTGTAAAAAAAAACATGTCTGGAAAATTACTTCTTCTCTATGTTTTATTCTCGCATTTTGAAGACTGTGGTCAAGTGAAAATTCTATGTAACGCTTTTGACAAAACTTGACATATACTGTAATTTATTCTTCCTGATTATAAAAATATACTTCTAACATATACACTTCACTTTTTAATTACAAGGGTTGTCCAAAACATTCGTAGACACTGGTAAATTAAGTCAGAATAATTCGGTTTTTATTGGTTGAACTTAATATTTATGTAAAAGTCGCGGTCATTAAAGATTAAAAGGCCATATACTTTGAAATAAAGTGCTAAAATTAGAATGATTTCTTTTCCTTGGTTTATAAAAAAAGTCAAAGCTTATTAAAAAAAAAATAATAAATCCAACGCGTATAAAACGGTTATCAACATTTTCTGATGTTTTTCTTATCTCGTATTATATAGACTTTGAGAATATTAAGGCAAA